TTCGAAAAATAAGAAAGCAGCAAATACAAAGTTTTTATTTTATCGAAAACTATTCGTATGATTGAATATATATGCTTTGAGTGAAATGTTGATCAGAGTCCCGACTATTATATATTTTATTACCGGATGACCCAATTATTAAGAAATATCGGTTTCATCTTGACACGGAAATAGGGATACGAGTGACATTTATTTCATAAATAGATTTAAAAGTAAGAACATTATATAAAGTTATTATGTTTTCAAAAAATTATCAAATTATCTTCAAATACTAATACAATTGGTGATAAACATTTCATAGGTAAACGAGAAAACGAAAGAATTTAAAATTTGTATATTCTAAACATTAATAATTATTATGCTTAAAATAATTTCAAATTTAATAAAAATTATTGTAAAAGCTGGGTGATCATAAATAAATTCGAATGAGAGATTATGTTTTGATCACTGATTCAACTTGTAAATGGCCTAACTAAACTCCTAAATAATTGTCGCAATAATTGTTGTAATTAAAAGTTTTCATTGAGTCAAAAGTAAAAAATATTTTATGGGCATTTACGTATTTGTTCCGTGTTCAAATAATATGATCTACTTTTTAATTTCAATAAATGTTCGTATTAATCCAGTATTATAATACAATTAGTAGTATTAACAGTTACGCCATCGATATTAGATTTACATATATATATAGTAAACACAAAAACAAGAATGGTAGACCACTGGGTTGCCCACTTGAGAAAAATATATCTAAGTTAAGATATACGTCAAAATGACAGCTTATGGAACTTATAATTCTAATCGCTTTTCAAATAGGAAAAAAAGTATCAATGATAATATAAAAGGGGAATACTATGTTTAGGACAATTTTTAAAATTATACGGGTAAGTGATATTGAAGAAAAGTGACAGACTAAAAGTACCTACTATAGACATTTTTTTTATAATATAAGTACGTGCTCAAGTGTGAAAAATATGATCATAACATTTTACTATCATAAATCACTCTAGGTGAAAAGCTTTGCTTTATTGTACCACCTACCTTATATGTAAAAACATAAAAATTTTATTAAAAAGCAAAATTTATTTATGATTTTTTTTACATGTATTAATAGATTGAACACTTTAAAAAAGCAATAAAACTGATAATTGTCTACTGATTGTAGGTTCCGGAAAACAACTTTGTTCATCTGTGGCAAACCGAAAAAGAAAATCTAAAAAGTAAGGTAAATGTATTTAAGCAACATACATTTAAAATGTATTATGTTTATCAATTTTTTGAATATGTGTATTTAAGTATCGCTATGTCAATTTTATTTTGACACATAGAACTTGTCACATTTTAAACTTTTCTGCTTGGCCAAATTAATTACATATGCTAATTTTATTAAACATTTTTGGGAAAACATTTTTTACAGCCGGTTAGGATATTAAAAAATATGTAAAGCAACCATCCATCAAAGTTTTTACTCAGCTTAAAATTTGTCTAAAATAAAACTAAATTGTCCAAAATATCGTTTAAGTAATAATAAACATAGATTAATTCCAAACCAATTTTTCCTCCTTCATGCGCACCCGATGTGTAACGCGTTGTATAAATACAGGTATGTAAATTGCACAAATATGAATAATTTTCCGACAATATTCAAATATATTGACATGTTAAATAGAATTTATTACATAATGGTATTATAATATGGCCTTCGATATTCGAATAAATGCAGATTAATTTTTGACTCATTAATTTACAAAATGGATCAATATACTTTCAGCAGGAGTAATGTGTAATGGACACGCTGACAATTACACAAATCATCGGTAAAAGCATAATCGATGTCCGTACAGCGTTAATTACATGGTGTAAAGTATCGACGAATTATTAGAGAAGGATAATTTTGTATTATTTATGTACGTTTATATATCTGAATATACAGTTAAATTACACTGCACTAATTGTACTGGTATATTTAACTGAAGTTTCAAATCTATTTTGATACGTTCTCAGAAAAGCTCAAAATACTGCAAAACCAGGGAGTTTAATATTAAATATTATTAATAATTAATAATAATTATTAACCTTGTTTATCAAGTAATATAATATAAGTTTTCAGTAAGAATATTTGCTTTAATTACATCAATACCAGTCATTCCTTTTTTACATTGAAATAATAATTTATTTAGTAGGTATAAAATTCAATATAGGGTATGACGGGGCACAAAGCTCCAATTCGAATTTCAGTATTTCAGTTTTGCTATCGAACTATGTACAGTCATATTTCCAGTTAATTTTTATTCATAGAAATATGTTTTTTCACTATTTTTCTACAATTTGTCATTTGTCCCTTTTTACCCCATAATCGAAGTAAAAAGATACAGCCATGGAGCAAATATGCGAAATACAAATTTCATGAACATTTTTTACCAAGATCACAATATACATAACCTAGATCTGGTATTTAGTCAGAAATTTTCATTAGCAGAGTTGGAACAGCTATTAATTTACTCTTGTAAAATTGCTTTTCTTTTTAATTTACTACTTTCTCATTGTTTACAATTTTGCCTGGGTAAAAGTTCAGTTCGTCCTTTTTACCCCATCTATGTGCTTTTATAGAAATTATATGAAAATACTGTTGAATCTAACTTAAAATTGACAAAATATTTTATAGAACAATTAAATAACGTACACTACTAATACTAATTATATTTAGAGATCATAAAATAAATAAAAGAGCTTAAATAAAATAACTACAAATGAAGAAAAAACTTTTGTTTGGAGGTAATGATTGGTGACAAATGTTTTGCCTTCTACTTTAGTATTGTTAGAAAATTTTATGCTTGTTTTGAGATAACGGCGGTGAACTTTTTCATCTACGGAGCTTTAAGACCCGCTCTACCAAATAATGTATTACATATTATCAATACATGTTCATACTAAAATCCGATGAAAATTACTGGCGAAATGAAAAAAGGAAATAGCAAATATAGAACAAATAGCCTATCTATTTGTTATCGTATCAATTTAATTTTTATTGAAACTTTGTCATGATGGTATTAAAAAATGAAACAATATGTGCAAAAGAGTAATATAAGTTATTGAAATATGGCAATATAATGTTTGTTCATGAAACTATAAATCCACATCTATAAATCCGTAAATTTGTCAAATGTTTTTTTTTTACACCGCGTATATTTTTTTACGAAATTTTAAAAATACGTTGTTTTCAGACTTAAAACATATGTAGTAGCATCGTCGGGGTTGATGCAACTTTCCCTAAAAACTAGTCAGAAGCACAATAAATAATTCTTTTGTTCAGCTATTTTACTTTCTCAAAAAGATATAGGTGTGTCCATATGCTTGTAAAGAATGTAGTAGAAAGTAATATATCTAAAATATGGCATGTTTTGAAAATACAACACAATTACTTGGAGTATTGTCATAAACGCGTGTTTCGCGTGAAGACGCAATGTTATGTTGTGGGCGGTTTCGTACAATGAAAGAAGAATAGTAATATTAGAGAAGAAATTGAAAGCACGTATTGTTAGAGATTATAAAAAAAAATAAGAAGTTATTTTTTTAGATCATTAGTTGTAGTCGAAACCTGTCTAAAAATGATAAGAATTTTTTACGAGACAACTTCAAATCTTGTTAATTAGATTAGGTATTTTCGTGGTCATATATGCATATAAAAATATATAGGCCAAAACTATTACATATGCATAATTAACACAGAAATAAGAGTGGTTGACCACTGGGTTGCCCTCTTGAAAAAAAGAATAACAGCTTACAAAAATATAATAACACACAGAAATAATAAAATAGATTAGTTATAATATAAATATATAATCCTTAAAATTTATGAAATAAACAAGAAGGAATTATTAAAAATGAATGGATTGATAAAATATTGATTCAGCAAAAACATTTGTTTTTTTTAACGTATATCGGATTGATGGAATTTTTTTATAATTTGTGAGTTCATTTAAAAATATCCATTATTCAAATGTTTATTAAAATTATTATGCCATTATTTTTTAAGACCATATATACCATAGCTATATACGACATTGGTTTAGTAGTGTCAAAGCTCTCTTTCAGCTCGTTAGTCTTCCCAAAAAATAAATTTTGCTGGAAAACTCTTCCATTCAATGAAAATATATTATTCATCCTTTTGTATTTATTGGTTTCCATATAACGCGGTGCAAATAATAATATATAATTTGAAATAATTTTAAGTTTTTTATAGCGCGGTTTTCATACAATGCGAAAGTTGGTTTTCATAGAACGCACTATGATTCCGCTTCGCACGGTTTGAACCGAGTTTCTTATAGCGCGGTTTCTATATTACACGGTTCGTACTCATCGAAAAAATGACAATCTACAATTTTAAAAGATAAAAAAAAATAAAAATTACAAATTAAATGTGTGTATATACAAACAAATTATAAATAATAAAGTGTTATTGTAAAATAAAATGATAAAGCATATTATCTACGCCTTTACATATACTATTTAACAATAAAATTTAATTAGTCCATTGATTAATATTCTGTTTCTATGTAGACATATTTAGTTTGTGATTCTATGTTTTTTTTCTATTTTTCAAAATTGTAGATGTACTTGATGATGGCATTAAATTGTATGTTGAAGGGCAAAATAATCTTTTCATCATTTTTTTACATTTTTACTTGGTATTAGGTCCATTAAGATATTTTTCATGTATTACAATTTGAAAATTAACTACTCTCAATATTATTTTAATATTAAGTATTTAATTAATATTGTTATTGCACTTATTGAAAATTATTAATATCTACCACGCAATATGCCCATATAAAAGTTTTCCTATACCCACCCATCGTACGTGCATAAACATATAGACGAGCTTGTGCCACCCTTTTTACATCCCTGCTTAAGGGTAAAATATACGACTAGTTCAAGTTGATTTTTACTGGCACTTGACGACATCATAAAAGTCATTTCGAGTGCTTTTTTCTACTCACCGTTTGCTGGCTGGCTGCAACGAACGCCGTGTTGCGACAAAACATCTCAGAGGTTCTAAACGAAAAGTGGTCCTGAAAAGTAAAAATGTAGACTTTTTGTAAAATAAAGTTTAACAAAACTCTGCATTTAATTCATATTTGGTATTATAATTTAGACGTAGATTTTTCTATAAATCTGCTCCGTTTTCTAGTGTTTTATTACATGGGTACTAAAATTCAATCTATTATATACTAATTTGTACAATCTGTTTCCACGCGGCAAGTAAATGAAATACAATATAGAATAGACTTGATATGAAGTATATAACTAAAATTAATTTCTAAAATATTAACCAGTTGACTGTGGCGCTCTCATCGAACTGTGCACACTGTGTAGTCGTCAAAAAATTGTTTTAAGGTATGCATTTCACAACTATTTATATTATTCATAGTCTCAAAATATTCATGGTCAAAGATTTTGACGCATGACGAGTATACTCGGCAATACACAAATTTTTGCCACCATTCCATGACGAGTATGTCGTATGTCCGTCAATCACAGTTGATGAGTTGAAGAATTTTTCTGGGTAAAAGAACGAAATCATTTCTTAACCACGTAAGTACAAAATTTTAAATATTTTTGTAATGAGAAAACTAAAGTTTTTGATTTCCTTAATAAAATTTCCTTTTAGAATAAAATATTTTATTCTTTACTATATATTTCAATAATTTAATAGTTATACATTAGCAAATCAATAAAAGCGCATCTATGCCAAGGTATAAAAGTTCTATTCCATTCATTTTTTGTTATGGCTTTTGCAAAATATCAAAAGTTTTTATACATAAAAGAAATTATTTTTAAAATACTATGCATTTTCTTGGGAAACGTAAAAAGACAAAAAACATAAAAAAACGTATTACCAAATCGCTAGATATTTGCTATAAAAATATTATATATAAAAAAAATTTTAATAATATTATTTTTTTGCCATAAGAAATAGCCTCATATAATCAATTGATAGTACCAAATTAACAAAAGTGTGCCGCTTATCGCAAAGAAGTATTTTTTATTATTTTAATTTGTTACTAATCTAATGCGAAACTAAGACACATTTAAAGCAAAAAAAAACTAAAATCCCAGACATTTTAAAAGCATATTGCAAAATTTATTAGTACTCATATTAGTATTCAAAACTAGACATTTATTATAAAACAGGCTATTTTTTGTCGGAATTATTATGAGCAAAATATATCTGTTATTGCTCACTATATAAATCCACATAAAATAGTGCTATTTTCAAATTTTTCTTAGGTAAATGTGAAAAAGTGATATACAAAACTTGCGGGTTATATTACAAAATTTACAAAATTGTATAAAAAAAATATGTTGTATCACTCGAAATAGTGCCTGAAAATTACCACCTTTAACCACCTTTAGATAAATTTTGTAATTTCAAAAATAAGATTTTATTTGTTTTCATTTAAAGGTAAATAAACATAAAGATGATCACAATATATTTTTATAATTCAGTAATTCAACGCGTAAAACTTCCTTTGCTTCAACAGAAGTATGTCGCACCGCAGGGCGGGAGAATAGGTTGCAAACCCCTGCACACTCTATATATAATATAAACTCAGCTAGGTGGTAGTAGTCCGTGATTTTATGCGTACTAAAACAACAATTTCACTATCTATTTCACCGTACAAAACGTTCCCGACCAATTCTAGCGCCGATGTCGTATTAACAAGCAAAAGAGAATTTAATGGCTCATATTATATAGTTATGTATCTTCACGCGCGTTTATTGCTTAATAATTGATTGTTTCTGGTTTTTCGTTTAAGGGCGCTGTTAAAATTTTATAGTCAGGTTTATAGATTTACAAGGACTTTTACGATCTGTTTTATGAACTGTTTATTCTTCAAAGAGGTATATGGGCTTGGAAGTGTACTGATGTCTAATCTAATTGGATACTTAGAAGGAAGATTTATTGGAATTTAAAAACCAGAGATAATTTGTAATACTTAAATGATTTATCTGATTTGACTTATTGCAACAAGTCCAGAAATTGTATAAAATGAAAATAAATGTTATTATGCAAGGCAATTTTTTGGACAATTACTAGTTACATATTATGTAGAAAAAAGGGCATTATATTACACCTATTTTGGTATTAATTTATTTTTATTTATTAGAAATATTTTTTGAAAGATTGGCAAAGGGAGACTTATATTATGAAGTGTTCAATATTTAGCCGGCAAAATGATATGCTAAGTTAAATCAAGTCCATTGAAATCTGTTACACCCCATTATATGAGTATATTAAATAAAATACAATACCACAAACTCAATATATTAATTCATATAATAAACAAAAGTTTAACAAATTAAATAATAACAAATAAATCTGTCATACGTATTCATTTATCCGTGACCACAATGAACACAAATATTCGTAATATGTACTCATACTAAATATCTGTAAGAAAGTAATAAACATTTAATCAAAATTAGTAAGAACAATTTTTATACTTGTGTCAAAATCTTTATTATAGTTTTTCATACATTTTTGCACATTTTTATATATACATACAATGATTAATCAATAAAGGCTGAATGAGTCCATATGGTATATTATGGTTTATACATTTATCTCAAAGATTATTTTAGTTAAGTGAATGTAAATAAGAAAAGCATTACTGATTAACACAATCAATATGGCTAATTTCTTAGAATTATTCATAGAAAGAAGTACTTAGATACATATCCGACTAACAGCACGCGCATGTATACACAGGCATTTACATATTATGTATAAATTTTATTTATAAAAATTAATAAATTTTACCCAAAGTTGAAAGAAATTAATAAGTAATTTTTGGACAACTTTGTTCAATGAACTCTTCATTATCGTAAGTCTAAGATATAATATCTTGGATTAAAATGTAAGTACTTTTGTGATATAGTTTTAGTATTTTATTTATGTATGTTAGGATCTGCCACGTCTCGACAAGAACAACTGAACCGATTTAGATAATTCAAGAATATTGGATACGTATTGACAATCCACAAAGTTGGTCGACTTTTAAAGAAAGTATGTCCGGTCACTTTGAAATTACGGCGGAAGTGTCAAGCAAAGCAATTTTTAGTAATCCGTTTTAGTATCAGATTTGTATAGAGATTTTATTATTAGATATTTATTTATGTTTTTAAATTTTATGTTCAAAATACTCAGAATACACTACAACAATTGCCATTAAAGGCGCTTTAAGCTAATATTTCTAAAAACTTTCGAATGTATAATGTTTTTTTTTATTTTTGTCTAGAACACAGAATTAGTCTTATTCTGATATTTACAAACTTCAAATTTGTTAAACCTTTTTCAGACTTTGTACTGTAAATTTGTATAATAGTTTAGAAATTTCAGTATTTTACATGAACTGTTTTTGTGTGACTAATTAAAATTTCCTGTCATCAATAACATAACATTTAATTTGTTTATTAATTTAATATATTGTTTTACGAAATCTGCAAGTTTCAAAAAATAGTCGAATCATGAAAATACTAGTTAATAAAAATGTAAAACTAACCGAGGTCTGCATTTTTAATTAAAGTTTGTCAAGGCTCAGTTGTAAGAGGTTGGGCATTGCTACTATAGGGTTGAAGATTTAATAGTCACTTCAACCAGTCTGATATCAAGCAGTAGTGATATAGAATTTAAGTTTAAAATATATAAGATCTAAATATACAAATCAAGATATTGCAAATAACACTTTCTCTCATTTATATATCAAAATAAAAATATAACTATCTAGTATTAAATAAATTGTAATAATCGAAATATATCAATATGATAAGTCAATCATTGGGTTTCCAGCAACGTTGTTAAGAAAAAAAGCCATAAACAGCTCAAGAAAAGGTTAAATTCGGATTTCTGTAGAAAAAAATAAGACAAAAACTTTTTATATAACATCGAAGGTAAATTTTAGAAGCTTAGTTTAGTAATAAGCTATGATATAAATCATGCATCAAATTCTGTCTAAAGTAAAATTTGCAAATATTTTCTTTAACAAATTTAAAAACCCTGAGCATAAGTGCATTACAGACCATCTAACGTCGATCGATTGGACTTCCAAGGGATTGTCCCATGCTTCGGCCGGTAAACGGTCTCACTGCTCCGCGCACGGAGCGAATGACGGCTAAAGAGAACTGTTTTATCGGACTTTTTACATCTCTCTCATTCCATATCGAAGGGCTATTAGAGCGAGGGAAATAGAAAGCATGAAACGCAAAAGAAAGGTCCGAGTTAACTCATATATGAGATAAAACACAACAGGAAATGATTAGTAGAATTGAATTCGGATCTGAAATACAGTTTTATATGTAAAATTTGTTTAACACAAACTTAAGTAAGTTGCAGATAGATTTGAGATTGGTGTAAAATTGCTCCTATGTAAGATTTAACTACGTAGTAAATGTCACCTTATATAGATGTCATTAAGAGTAAAGCCTTACAGAAATAAAATACATATATGAAATTGTAAAAATTATTGCATTAAACGGGGACGAATTATATGCAAAATCCAAGATAAAACGAAAATATTTGCCATTTATATTATAGAATAACAGAATTAGTATCGACAAAAAATACAGATTGTTTTAAACAGGACAAAACGAGAATTAAAGAAGAGTTGGAATGTAAAAATATTTACAACAGAAATGAAGTTGGTTGTTCTTGTAAGTATTCTCATAGGGATTACCTTAAATTTTGGATAGTAAAATTAAATTAGAAAAAAATAAAAATGAAAAAAACGTAGAAATTTTTCGCTGAAGTAACGCATCTAAAAATATTTACAGTTACTATTGATACGTTTAGAAATTGGCAATTATCATATAAATAAATATAAGATAAAACATAAATAAGTTTGCTAGATATATCATAGAACTATCAGAAAATTATCGTCGAATTAGTCTAAAACAAATCTTTACAACAAAAAGCCAAGAAAATCGTTAGAATGTAAAATTATTAGTAACAGAAATCAAGAATTAAATAAAATCTGATTTTTCTCTTAAAGGGTCAGAAATCGCGACCGTA